CCAGAATCGAAACGCACCCATGCCTGTTTTCTAAACCTGGCATTTTCTCCATGAAGCCCTACAAATTGACGAACTTCTGCAGGGGTGGTGTCTCTTGGTGGAAGAAAACGAATAACATTCTGCGCTTCAATAATTGACCACGTCTCTAGGAGGTCCGCCACCTTAACTGCCTTGTCAAGCATGCGCAGTATTACGCAGCGATCAATCCGCGCGTGCAATAGAATATTCACCACTGCTGTACAATCAACATCAATCAGCCACAGCTGACCTTATCTTATTGAACATGCCTCGTAATGCTAAAAATATTCACTATGATTGCGCTAACTTTTTTTAAGACTCCCTGTACAAAAAAAGATCTGATGAAATAGTGTGAAACCTGTTTGTATTGGATTTTCCTTTTATTCAAACCCTCCCCTTCTCTACAGGACTCACTAACCCATGCATAGGCATAACCCATGGGCTATGGTAACACGTGATACCATAGGAGGACTATGCTGAAATTCCACCCTGTTGGAATTCTTTAGGTAGGAACACCCCAAATTGATATACAGTAGTTATATTAAATTGATTATTAAAAGCGTAAGGAAGGGGATATGATCTCCGCACCATATGAACTCCAGGAGCTCAAAATTCCCGTAAGAACTCCAGGCTCTGTGCCTTCCATTATACTACGGCTTTGGAACCTTATGAATACAGCAAGTACATATAATGCATATAAAAATGTATAAAGTAATATTCTCACTTCAATATAGAATTTCAGGCGATGCCTCTGATTACTTCACTAAATGAAGGACTCCTCTGTCTCCAGACAATATTCACCTAGATGCCTTGATTTTCTCAAAAGGTAAATCAGCATGAATGTGTTCAAAAGGCACAGGAGGGTCGCTTCTTGTGAAAATAAACTCACTGGGTAAGCCTCTGTTGAATGCATTTGCAAGACTCGATTGCATTCTGACTTTGCCACGGTTTTATTCGTACAAAGGGTCAGAACGCATGTTTCAACACACGCTGATGTATGTGGAGGGGAAAATGGCACTTGAATTCAAACTCTCACAGTGCAACAACTAACCCAGGCCATTAGCCAGGTCTCTGGCGCCATATTTCACCCCACTCGTGTGAAACAAAGGGAGTTAAACGTATTACTACAGCTAGAGGGCATCGCTTTGGGGGTGGGTGGAATAGAGAGCTGTGCAGCTACATAGAGGTGTTTCCTGGAATTCTCTTTCATTTCAAGGGCTTCTTTCGATTAGAATATCTATCCGCAGTTCATTTGACCTAAACAGTCAATAATGAGTGGAAGCCAATTTCATTGCCTCGATATTCCACTGGCATAATTCTGTAGTCAATATATCGGTGATGACTCTTGGTTATGATAATCTCTTGAGATAATAACTTCCAAAGGTGGAGAGCTACCTAGAATCCTTTCCTATCTGGAGGACTGCTTCAGGCCATGGTTTGGCATGGATTAGCGTGATATTAAATCAACACAAGGGAGGGAGTTATTATGATGTGAATATTATGCAGCAGCGTACCCTAGTAGCACATAACATCGAAACAACATGGATTCAATGTTGATTTAACATCCGGATGTTAAATCAACATTGAATCAACGTTCAACACATGTTTCTTCAAATTATAATCACTCGTTGCAAAGAAAATTGAGTTGAAACGTGGTAGGTACATTTTGGGCCACCCTGTAGGTAAACATGTTCGCAATTGATGCATTGAGTGACATTTATAGCATTAAAACAATTTCAGGTTCATGGTCAATTCTAATTACAACTGTGTGGGTTTCATTGAGCGTTCCTACAGCTGTCTGAAGGTCATTACTTGCTTGGGGAAAAAGCAGTTGACAAGTGCACTGTATCAGTCTGAGCTCCACTCAATTGTGCGATTCCCGCAAAGAACTTGTTGAGAAAATGTGTTTTAACTGATTCGTTGGTTTTGGACGAAATGGGTGACCAATGGATGACGCGTATAAGAGTTCTAGGCTAATGCCAAATGTAGTATGTAAATGTAGTAAGGGGCGTTAAAAACGTTTCTGGCCCGAGGCACTTTCAGTTGAAATACACCATTCGAACAAGTACTTTTCTCATGTGCAAGCATATGTCTTTCATTGTGACTAACAACATTTTATTTAATTTTTCGATGATGGATTGCTATTTATTTTTGGCTGCTGAAGAGCTATTTAAACTGAGGCGAAAGATACGCTGAACTTTTTACTTCGAATGAGTCGATCTCTCTCTAGGTCCTTCTGCAGCCAATATGATAGCGTCCTAATAAGCCTTCCGTAAATGATCTGCTACGAGATCAACACTTCAAAGTAAGATATACGTTCTGGGGTCAAGTTACCACCACTCGAATGCCTACAGGTTTGGTTTTAAATAATTGGAGAGCTGATTTGGTGTAATTTCGAAGGTTTCTTCACCCCCTTTTGAAGGAGATGTCTATGTGAAATTTGACTTCATTGCGACCAGTCATTGATGCTCCTTAGAAGTAATTCAATATCTTTGGTGGAGAAGAATTTTTACATTGAAGGCAATCATGACTTCATTCATTGATCTTGATTCATTGACTAATTTAAAATAAATGAAACATACCCGTGTGGCACAGCAACGTTGAATAGACGTTGAATATACGTATATTTATCGACCTGGAAACGTTGAGAGTATACATGGACTCGACGTGGAAATGGGAATATCATCTACGTAGAATATACGTAGATTTGTCAACGTTTTTCCTCTGTGGCTTTTGCAGTGACTCCTTCCCTTGTAGAGATTCGCAAGTAATACATTNGTCTGGACAATATTCAACTCAAATGGCCCATCTTACTGCCTCTTATTCTACATTATATTTACTTCCTATGTTTTACTAAAATGGGTATTTGAACTTAATACCAGAGCAACTGAGTGGGTCTGATGAAAAGCTATTAACCCCTTAAACCTTTAGGGAAGTAGGTATCAATTTACTTGCTCTAGACATTCAGCATGTATTTTCTATGAAGGCAGCATACTACCTGAACATGTCATTAAATAACTTACACCAATCAATGTAATTATTTTGATACTCATAGTTCCTGAAGTCTCATAAGAAGCAATAGGCCTATCTAAAGTGGAAATAGTTGGGTTATTGCACAAGTCTGTCAGCTAGGATACACATAATCCAGCTAATAATACCAACGGGTCCATGAATGGATTAGAGGCCTCTTGATGTTAAACTGTAGGTAGGATTGGGTTTAGTCTTGAGGACATGTGAAAGGTGCCTAAGATGGATTATGGGTCGAGGCCTATCCACAATGAAAGTGATTGGTTCTACAAGGACACATGCAGGTCTACCCTTGGTGTCTCTACTGTGGGGACTTAGCCCTAAAGTGGACAGTTTCCCAAGGAATTCGCCTTATTCAGCACAGAGTAGGCTAGTGCAACGAAATGGAGAGAGTTAGGGACATAGAATATAGACCGGCATCGCGGAAGTTGAAGCCTCCGCCACGAGCATAGAGGGCAGTACTGCATACATCACTACCATCTACGTTTCCACCTAAAATCCACATCGAATCGACGTATCTATGCCACACGTTTACCGCTCCCATCTACCTTTCCACCTACCATCTACGTTTCTACTTAAGATCTACGTCGAATCGACGTATCTGTGCCGCACGGGATGGTGTACATAGTGTGAGTACGTAATGGTTAAACTCTTCTCTGCTTATGATAATAAATATGTGGATGACAAGAAATTGAAGACTGAATTTGCAGGTTCAATTAATTTGAACACTGTTCAGAAAACGACATTGCCAATAAAAGCACTTTACGAATTCTTCTGGAGTTTCAAAGGAGTTTGCCGAATATAATGTGATTTCGGCTCTCAAAACTAATTCATTGAATCATGTTTTGACTCAAAGGGTATCATTCGTATATTTAAAAATGCAAATGCATTAAATTTTAAAGGGTTTGGAAATGTTAGATTAGGATTGCTTAGGTTACGATACATGACAGTGAAGTTCCTTTTGTTCTTCATGAATTCCCTCATTTGATGAAAGAATGCTCCTTCAGAATACGTACTTTCCACAAAATTGGATGAATCAAAATTCAAAGCTAAGGAAGACAATCAAATTAAACATGTATTCACATTTTACAGAGTTATTTTATTCTGAACGGAAATAACTTTTGCATTTAGGAATAATAGATTCACCTTTTTTCTCATACACTTTCAATTTCTTTGCAAAGTCAAATTAACATCAATGGAGTTTACATTCTCTCTTACATTTTTTTAAAATGCTGAGCGAATTTATTCGAAGTCTTATTATGAACAATAATAATATTTTAACTTACCCTAATCTAACCTACGATTGTGAAGTCTTTCACATTCGGATGAAACCGTATTTTTCGTTTCAGAACTGAATCTAAATTTAAACATTTGAATTTGATTAAAAAAATTGGTTTAAAGCCAAAAACGGGCAAACCAAATATAATCCAGCCTAATCCAATCTAACATTCTTCAGCTTCACGGTAATGTAGGAACGTATACGATTATGATTTAACTGTTCTTCCCTCTCCAAAATCAGACTGTGCACCTATAAGTTTAAATATCGTATATTATACCTTTGGAATCTAGTATTTTGGCGGTTTGACTTTTTTCATCAATACCAGCGAGAGATGCAAAAAACCAGAGAGAAATCCGGTTTTACAGTCAACGGCCATTCGGTACACTGGGATGCAAAGACCCACGTATATATTTGCTACATTTTCTGTCATGCTGTCTTTGATGTGATGAAGGGATTACCTGCCATGCTGCGCCATAGTGTGACGGAAAAAAGAAACTAAAGCGATGTACCGAAGGATTCCAACTTTTTTTGGGCTTGAATGAAGCCTTCTATTAGTTTTAATATTTTGCATAAAATATGCCATTGCGAATCAGCCAACAGTTAAAAAACATTTTCCGTTTTGTCATTCCACATCTTCCATCTCTTTCACTTTCAGATCTAATTCGCCACGTCCGCAATGAAGAAAAATCGAGCTCCAACTATTGGCATTGATCTCGGAACTACTTCCTCCTGCGTTGCAGTATTTCAGAATGGGAGAGTCGAAATTATCCCCAGTGATATGGAAAATCGAACAATGCCTTCCTATGTTGCATTCACTGCCTGGGAACGCCTCATCGGAGAAGCTGCTAAGAATCAAATTGAAATGAACCCTTCCAATACAGTATTCGGTAAGGACACAAAGAATCCCTCTCCTACGACTAGGTAAATACATCACGCATAATGGCCAACTACATGGATCTTGCCCCGAGTAGCTCATGTCGATTGCCCCAATCTTGGAACAGCATAGCATCCAAAGAGCTTCGCGTTGGTCCACATTTTTATGCCGAAGCTAGGCAACTGTTGACATAAATCCTGGTCCTTTGTTGGTTGCTGATTTCCAGTGTAACTTTCAGCGTTTCGTTGATTTTATGCCAACGAATTTTCCATATGTTTCTTTGTATTGTTGCGGTTGCGCATAATCACACACAAGCACACACAAAAGCATTCTCGAAGTTCAATATCTCCCTTTCTTAGTCTGTCAGTATAAGATGTTCAATGCTTTAGCAGTTAATCCACTGAATATTGAGCCTTGAAGTTTTTTTTACACATTCAGAAAAATCTTACACTACATTTTTTTTATCATAAGGAGAAACTTTCTCGACATATAATTTCCCCTTGTTTTAGAGAAGGACCTAAATTGTGCAGCCGGAAATAAAGCCTTGCAAATATTGTCACATGCAATATTTTGGGCCAATAAAACTGTAAGTACTCTTAGGTCTGCAATGACTTGCAGCCAATGTTCGATGCTCTTTATAAAGGTGAGGTAAAGTGTATCGCAAACTAAGGGAGCTATTTCCAAGGGGAGCCTACCGAAACCTAACTTGTATACCTTGTGTTCACATACAAAAGCCATTTCTGGAACTTTTTGATGGGTCCTCGCATATTTCGGTTCCTCAGAAGCCCCATGACAATAGAAAAGCAGTTGATTCGGTGAAAAATCATTTTCTAAGATATCCGCTTTCATTAGAGCAAAGAGCCATTCCAGTGTGAAGGTCAAGCGTCATTGCGTATCTTGAAGCTGGAGTCAGGTTTGAAGTATTTAAAAGCCAAGAGGGTGGTGTAACATCTTCATAGATAGTAGAATTGTGAAGTTGTGAAAACAGAAAGCCACCTATCTGAATATAAAGCTTGGCAGTGGCAGGCCTGAGGTCTATACACCATGTATTAAATGATTCCTCAATGACTCTTGTGGAAAAAGCGATAATAAATTATTGATTTGGTGCTAGGACTTACAAGCTATGTATGAAGCATCAATGATCCCTATGATAGGGCTCTGAAAGAGATAACCAATAAAGCATGCAGGAGCAAGCAAAATCCAATGTCCCTGGAAGAGCCATGAGGCGCTGTGAGGTATGAGCAAAAGCACATGCGAAAGCGACAGAAGATAAGAGGAGAATGTGATGTTCAGCGATGGAAGCCGCTTCGAGTTTGTCAAGACGGTATAAAATGTGCTACGGAAAGCCCAGGACCAATATGGAGGAGATGGAACTGGTTGAGGTTGCTTTTCAGTTCATGGTTCCAGTGTGATGATCATAGTCAAGGACAAAATGAACGAAGACAAATCTATAGATATTTTTCAGAGCGAGACTGCCTTGCATCCACAAGACTTGAAAACATCCAGCAGATGTTATTTATCAAGTCATGCTCCATGCCCAACTGCATGTGTCAAATAGCTCCATGAAACAATATCAGCCTCTTTGATTAGCCTGAAAACACTCCTAATTGCAACTCAATGGTGCATATTTAAGACGTCATAGACAAAATGCTGCAGGAGAGCAGTTTTCTTCAAGTGATGAGTTGTTATATGCTGTCCTGGTTGTCCGAAATGCTCTCAAAATCGTTAGGTGTAAAAGGCACGTGGAGAGCTTGCCACGAAGGGCGAAGGCTGGTATTAACCTTGACTTGGCCAAAGGGATCCTTCTGACCCATAATTCAACATTGAATTAACATTGGTTCAATATGGAAATGAGACACTTCTGAAACGTTGCTGTTGAAGTCATGCAATGCTCTATTTCAATGCCCTCATACTCTGTGAATGTTATACCTGTGTGATCGCAGACCGTTCCCATATACAATTTCAAGATTAGAGATGCTCCTCTCCAGTCTCGATGTAGATTATATGTTGGGATCAGAGAGGGACATCTCGGTCTCGCAGAAAAACGAACACAATGGAGTGGTCGCAGGCAATGAAAAGTTGGCTGGTAATCAGCACTAGATCCTCCTGCGCTATCTGTCGGTGGGTTTGGAAATTCTCTGTCGAGATAGCGTGGTTCCTGGAATCACATGACCACGTGAACTTTCCTCTCTGTTCCCAGTTCAGAAAGTTTGCCAGCGCAACCGCTTTCGTCGAGACCAATATACTTCAGACAGTACGATGCAGATACGAAGTCAAATGCGCCTAGGATCGAAATACAGTTTTGTCGCCCCCATGACACCCATGATCGCGCTTTCCTCATTGCGAGGACATTACAGGGGCTGAAATAAGATGAAGTAGTATGAAAACCATTTTTTAAAGGTTAGGTCTAACCCTAGGACTGTCTTCAGGTCAGACCAATGCCTATCGTTTCTCGTTCAAAATAATCTTCATTCCCGGCATATGGAGTCAATTATGCATGTACCAATAAATGTCCATTTCGGATTTTCCAGACATCTCTCTAAGGAAGTGTACATTTAGGTCGATCAGGGTCCAGTTTCGAGTCTCATGGATCATCTCGACGCGATCTGTGGACTTCTTGCCCCCAAAATTAAAATGCAAAACGCCATCTTATTATTTCAGGCCGTCTGAATAGTCTAAGCTAATTTTAGCTAATTTCAATTTCCGTAGCGAATTTATGCATCGCAAAAAAAAACACAAACGACTATTTTTCGTGATCTACATGTCAATATATTTAACTAGCAAACAACTGGCAAACAAACTCACTATGGTCGCACCTTCGGCGCTCCATTACTTTGGATAGTGATTAATTCATTTATTCTTTGCGAAATGGCAAACACGTATTACACGTACGTCTCCATTAAATATGTATGTCCCCTTATGAAAGTAATGATTTTTATCGAAATCATTACTTCTATGACTTCTGGTGTGCCTAACTAGAAATGTTTTCTTGTGTCCCTTTTTGTAAGGGTGGAAAATACATTTTGAAATACTTCCCTCCTATAATCTACGCTAACGGGACATATTTCAAAAGTAGGATTTTTCCTATACTCAGCCATCAAACAGGTACTTCTGATGGAAGTTTAATTTTTTGTCTTTGTTTCGTTGGATCAAAAAAAAATTGAGGAAAATGGAACTGAAAAAATGTGCCTTAATGAGTTTTAAGGAATATTTTTTTTCCATCTGAAATATAGACTCAGCGAACTCCATGCCACCCAGTTTCAGTCTTATACGTTTCCCCTTTTTGCCGGCGGGAAAAATGTTTTTCGAAGAACGACCCACCGAAAAGCTGCAATCTGAGGAGACGCACAACAATCGATGGATTTTTCCTTAAATCAACATCACGTCCGGTATGCGTGCGCCAGCTACTTTTCTATTCCTGCCCGATTCGGTAGGATATGAAAAATTATTTGAAGAGGTTACGCCCCTAAGAAAAAGAACCCCAAAAATATTTTGGAAATTTGACATTTGACACTTGAGCTCAGTGCGTCAGCAGTCATGTTCTTGCCAAGTTTCAGCTTTCCATGTGTCTTCGTTTGATTGAAGCAAAGAGAACCATTTGAAAATATATTCCCCGAAAAGATGTGCCCGTATGGCATGTATCATCAAAGTAGAATTTTTCCTGAGTTCAGCATGCAAATAGCTACATATGTCAGTCAGTCGGCTACTCACGATCGTCTATATATAATAAATGTATAATTTTTTCTTTACTGAGCTATCCATCAGGTACTTCTTTGCCAAATTTAAACTTTCTAGCGCCCTCTCTGTCCAATTCGCCACGACAATTTTTTTTCAAAACTTCGCCCCTCGAAAAATTTTCCCCAGGGGATGTATCGAGACTCAACACTTAACTCCTTGTCTCAGTTGTCACTTTCATGCAAAGTTTCAGCTTTCCATGTTCACCAATTTAACTGATGCAAAAAAATTATTTGAAAACAACTCCCTTTGAAATTTCTGCCTCAAGGGAATTACCTTCCAAGGTCTGAATTCTTCTGCAGCATCCCAATAGGTAGTTTCATCTTTCCACACTAGTTCAATATGTCAGGACAAAAAATACTTAAAACGTCGGCGCCCGAAAATATTTACCTTCAGTCAGTCAGTCAGTCACGATCGTCTATATATTAGATTTGGCTTGAATACTTCCTCTAAAAATACCATAGGAGAGGCTACCCAATGGGAGGGAGGGCGGGGGGGGGAGGTAAATGAATTTCACATCCTCAAAAAGCGAGATTAGGTGTTCTCTGCAACCCTTGGGAGATGGAACTTCAAATTAACTGAAGTGATTCCGTGTTGAGAGAGGTAGAAACATGCCCAATTTCGATACTCCATAAACTAACAGTAAGATTTACGAATTGATTGCATTTGGTGACTGGAAAAATCCCAAATTTCCCCCCCCCCGAAATTTTGCATTCTTACTTTGAGCCATGAGTGCTACCACATAAAAAATGTTTGTCAAAATCGGAGGAGGTCATGCTGCGGCCTCTGCCTGATTTGAGATGAAAGCACCCTCAAATATTGGGTCAAGAATATAAACCTGAAATGAGATGCCCAAGACAGAACTGAAATAAATCTTTAAATGAACCACAAATGAACATTTTAGAACAAATAGGTAAGGCGTTATTCAAGAAAACCTAGTAATGGTCAGTCTCACCAGTTATAATAGGTCAAAATTTTGCGAACTCGCCATGCACCATCTTTGGGTCTTGATAAATATTTTCTATTTCATGTTTTACACCAAACGGTCTATAGTTCTCCACCAAATGTCAGCTAAATCGCCGATGGTCGACCAAGAAATCATGGAATAATTGGGTGATCTGACATGGAGTTACCCCTGTGCGTTCTGTCTCCTCAAAGTTGAAAATATTATTAAACTTCATTGGAAACTCGTAATCTATCCAGAAGTATATAAACATATACGAGCGAAAAGATCGGTTTGTTTTCTTTTAAGGACGACGAGGGCAGATATTTCTGCCTTCTATGTAATGGTAGAAGGAATTAAATTTCAATAAATTCCACAGAAGTATTATTTCGTCAACCAACGAGAAATTTATGGGTTGACCTGCTAATTAATGCAATCACCTTACAGCAAGAAGAAGCAGGTAATAGTGCTATTTAAAACTGTAACAATAATTTTAATATGCATTTATGAGGCAGCTCATTCCAGTGCGATTCAACGTTGTGGTAAACCCAATATATTTAACTGACTTTCTTGAGACCTCATGACATTAACTCTTTTCAGATGTGAAGAGGTTGATTGGGCGGAGGTTTGATGAGGTTTCAGATCAGATCGGCAAGAATCACTGGCCCTTCACTGTCATAAATAACCATGGAAATCCCAGGATTCAAGTAAGCCTATATTTATAAACAAGCTGCAGGAGTTTAGGTGTCTTAAGAGTTGAAATGACCTTTCTTGGTTTTTTTAAAGGTATGCCACAGAGGAGAGGAACGTGAACTATGCCCCGAAGAAATAAGTTCAATGGTGTTGACCAAGTTAAAGGAAGCTGCCGAAGTTTATCTTAATGATTCTGTCACGGATGCTGTCGTGGCTGTGCCTGCTTACTTCAATGACTCCCAGCGACGTGCTACCAAAGATGCAGGGACAATTGCCGGCTTGAACGTCAAACGAATCATTAATGAGCCCACTGCAGCTGCTGTTGCATACAGTATAGACAAAAGAGTTCAAGGAGAGTGCAACTTCTTGATTTTTGATATTGGTGGAGGTGCACTTAATGTCTCCATCATAACCATAAAAGATAGAAACATCACCGTGAAGTCCACTGCTGGTGATGCTCATCTGGGGGGTGAAGACTTTAACAACATCATGGTCACCCACTTTGTTCAGGTGAGTCATGTTGGATTTGAGAACTTTTTTCTAGAGATTTTTTAAAGTTCTTACTGCGATATCGTTCATGCCTTTGCAGGAGTTCAAGGAGAAGTTTCATAAATATGTGGGAGAAGATCAGCGCGTCATACGTCGTCTATATACAGCATGCGAACGTGCTAAGCGCACTCTCTCTTCAACCAAGCAGGCATCAATTGCCCTTGACTCTTTTTATGAAGGTATCGATTTCCGGACCTCCATCACACGCTCCCAATTCGAGGAACTCAATGCGGATCTCTTCCAGCGCACAAGAGAAACAGTGGAAAGGGTAAATGATTGGGCAACTATGAATTCTTGTGGCACCGTCCACAAAGATGGCATTGAAATTCATTAACCAGTGATCATACTGTATGTTAGTAAAGTACTCTGCATAGAAACTCATTCCACTTCCCCAAGAAATCTTCACTTATGAACTTGCAGTCAAGTTAATTTATACATTTTCTAGGTATTCTGCTAATTAAAAAATATATGCAATAGCTGTAATGCTAAATTGAGTTCTAGTCGAAGCTCGGGATATCTCGTCCAATGATATAACAGAATATAGGATGGGCACTAAATAACTGAACACGTTTAAATTCGAACAGAAACAAAAGGGTCCAATGGATCTAGGCGCTATTTTTATTTTTTTGAAGAACATTTATGAGAAAAAAATACCGCAGAAAAATTCACTTCAGGTGGTCAATATGTCTACCGTCTTGGTTGATACAAATTTGAAGCCTTTTCAGCACGTTGTGGCACGCTCGGGAACATATGAGGGGTGGTCAAAAAGTTCCGAGACCAAGGCACTTCCAGTAGCAATACATCATTCTTATTCCCCAAGTAACACACTCACGTTGAATCAACTTTGATTCAACGTCATTTCGTCAATGCAGCTAACGTTGAAACCACGTTGCCTGTCAACATTGATTCTACCCAGTCGGCACAGCCACGTTGTGTCAACGTTGAGAAAAGGTTGAAACGTTGAGACTTGGTTAAAGTTGAGAATCCGACGAAGAATCGACATCAGCGAAATGCTGGCTATTCGTAATTAACAGTATTTGCAGCATGTTGTGACTACTCGCGGATTAGCAGTCATTTGGTGGCTATTAAGCGCAAATCATATATGATGAAATATGAATTTGCGCTTAATAGCCATTAAACGACTTCGTTCAATATCAACTGGACAGGATCTCCATCCTCCGAATTCGCTTTTTAAAGATCCCCCATCCAAGGACAATGCGAACCTAATGCCGAGATGAGAAAGAGGAATCCCGTTCCCTCGGAAGCAGGACACCGACGCGATTACCGCGATTTAATAAGGGGCTACCCACACTCCTCACACCTTTCGGCAGTGACCGTGATTTGAATTCATCCTCGAAAACAGGGCGTCATGGTCTCATGGAATAATATGACATCGCATACTTTCTTGTGTCCATCGCCCTGCTCAGAATTATCCTGGGTCCTATTTGGTTGGGTTGCCACTTTGGTCGAATATATCCAGGATGTCAAATTCCTTCCCAGACGTCGTTTGTGGAGAAAATATCAAGTACTGTTCCAAAAGTACTAGAGACGCGTACTGATTGCATATACCTAGGTATATGGTAACTAACCATGTTGGGCAAGTATTCGCCATCACATTTCGCAGTCAGGAAATCTTGTTTGTTCGCATGTCTTCCTAGATGTCTTGCCAGCCATCTGTTGATGTAACGTTGACCGGACAACGTTCTCTCAATATTGATATTTTCAACATCGAATCAACATTGAGTCAATGTTAAAGAATTGATACCATAATGAAGCGTTCTTTTAATTAATATGTGAGCAATGCTGACGCGGTGAAGTTGTTTCACGTGAATCTGTCCTTTATTTGGATTTCTTCGATACGTGCTTAAGGCATTCAACATACACAGGTAATCGTGTTATGCAGCAATAAAAAAAAACATTCATATGGGAAACACTGCATGAAGACCATGTATTAATACTATCAAGACTGTCCCAGAAAGAAATTTTTTATGTTACTAGTTCGGAAGATAGGAATGATTTCAGTACTCATTACAGTTCATGCTTAATTAGAATATATCTAGCCAGCGTCGTCACGTCATTTCTCCCATTTCTCCTACACCAAGCCCTTGATGGCATACATAAACACGTCTATTTCGGGAAATAGGTCTGACAAAGTAAGGTTTTGAAAATTGCTCCTAGTTATGCTTGCCGAAAATGCCATTCTGCTTGATTGTGCGCCGAAATTAGAGTGCCTTTCAGTCACTGTCTTATTTGCTCAAAATCGAACGTTCCTCGTGAAATGAATATTTCCTGGTAGATCGGCTGAAGTAATTAAGTAGTTGCAAACACTGATGGAGAAAGCATTAAAAAAATCATTTACTGCATATACTTCGACCGTGAGTGGTCCAGCATTGCATGGATGTTGGCCCAAAGTGGGTGCATAAACGGTGACGGTCACCGCATTGAATCAATGTTGAAGTAACATGGATGTAACAACAATGATACATTCAATCCACAGTCAACAATGATTCAACGCTTCATTCCAAATACGTCGGTTTCTATATCGGGGATGAAAATACCAGATTTGTTCAGATTTCGAACTCCTGCTTTGCGTCACCTAGGTGGCCCTTGTGATTCAACAGTTACAGGGTCACTAAACTGAAACGTCAAGGTGCCCCACCACCAGAAGCTAAGGTTTGAAGTTCAGGATTACTAGGCTGCCCATTGCAGCGTTGCTGGAAAACAATTTTTACACGACATTTTTTGGCAAAAAAAGAATTAATGGCGGCATCTAATCAAAAATTCGGTTTCCAAGGAGACAACGGCGACAAAATTCAAAATAATACATCGCAACATGAAAAATTGGAGGCTTTTTATGACCAACTACACCAATCTAGTTGCACCTGGCCTACGGCCTACCATATCCTTGTGAAATTCGGTTCAGGGGAGTACATGGACAATTTGGACCCCGGTACCAAGGGGTGTACATAAAAACCACCACCACGAATCAAGATTCAAGATTCAAGATAGTGATATCAAGAGGCGATTTCGCCCATTTCAATATCACGTGTCGAGGTCGAGAGTTCCTTAATTTTAGGATAGGCCTAACCCTCTTAAGGTACTATGGGAAGATGAGAATCGACCCCCCTAGATCGTAATTCCGCTTCATAATTGTTGCAAGGGACCTCAAGAAAGGGCCTTGGAGCTGATTGCTGACTCTCTGCGGTCACGCCCAGGGCCATGATTTGAGGTCAAAGGTCACAATTTACATGCATCTTTTTGAAAATGCGTATCTCCCCAACCATTGGTCGCAGAAATGTCAAATGCATGCCATTCTCCTTGGAAGATATTGCACTAAATGGAAAAAATAAATACATGCATGTAACTGTCGTTATCGAGACGCCATGGCGCCATAACTGAGAAAATTTCAGTTTTCAGATTCTGTTTTTTCGCTCTCATTCCTCGTAGAAATTTTCTATCGACAAAAGCATGCTACACATTTTGGAGGCTATCCTGATCCATCTTTTGGCGGAGTTGCGCATAGTTTCCTGCAACCGTTCGCTCTCAAAGTTCGACGATCCACGCGAAAATGCCACTTTTTTGGAAATCACTCGAGGTTGACGGACATTGCTCGAAAACGAAGCAGAAATTCAAAAATTCCTCTGATAAATCTCTGAAGAAGTCTCTCAAGAAGCTTCGTGTGGATTTTCATGGGAATCCGTTCGCTATCCTCGGAGCCTATCGTTTTTTGCTGTGNCACGCGAAAATGCCACTTTTTTGGAAATCACTCGAGGTTGACGGACATTGCTCGAAAACGAAGCGGAAATTAAAAAATTCCTCTGATAGATCTCTTAAGAAGTCTCTCAAGAAGCTTCGTGTGGATTTTCATGGGAATCCGTTCGCTATCCTCGGAGCCTATCGTTTTTTGCTGTGGCCCATTTTAAAATTGAGGCCATTTCTGTCCTACCGGGTCGATTTCCTTGGTTCATCGGTCGCAAATACCGGATTTTTTGTTCCTATCGCATAGAGATATGTTTCAGGAATCAAATGACACCAAGATTGCTTACTTTCTCCTAGGTGATAGAGAACGCGGGGCTTTAATTCCCGATTTGCATGAAATCCTCTTGAATCCTCGCGCGCAGCTCTTCTTTCTTGGACCTCCCTCCCGACTCGCTCTCCTATGTTCCTTCGCCTGCCCCGGGACCTCGCATGCACGCACTTCCCCCTCGCCTTTTTATCCCTTCTCTTTCCCAGTCTCACTGGCTCCTGGCGCTGACCCTTCCTCAGTCGAAAAAAGAGCCGCCGCACTTCCTACTTTAAGGAGCATTAAGAATTTCTGTGACTCGTGTATTTTCGGTATCAATCCTCGTGTAGGCAGTACACAATCTAAGGCTCCAAGGGTAACAGATTTTCACACGATTACTCCTTTTCCTGATTATGATAAATCGAATCTGTGATGTCCGCAAAGGGGAGTTTGTCAACTTAGGTCCCCCCTTTCCTTAGAAATGAAACGCATCCCGCAGACTAGAATGGACTCTGAGCTCCAAAACTTGTCTGAAAAAGTAGATTCATGAGACGTGCTATTTTAGAGATGCTTGAGAGAGATGGAACGTTACCTGACCTGGGAGAGTTGCGATTGAGGATGGTTCTATTTGGGGGAATATGAAACTAAAATAAAGCCGCACAGCTTTAACATTTATACCACCGGTTAGGGTGGAATCTAGACAAAAAATATTTCCATAAAGTGATTTTTCTTCAAGTGTGTCACTGTCGAGATGTATGGAGGAGAAGGATAGCACCTGATTGAAAGGGAGGTACATTATGGAGGCATTATCCCTGGTGCACATTTATCTCACTTAAATATTGTCAAAAATAAAAAAGGCTAGGGCAGACTTTGGACTACAAATCTTGTTTAGGCAGAAATTCCCAAAACTGAAACGTTTTCGAGATAAAGGAGGGAGGAGCGAGTCAGCTCTCCACTGCCCATTGTTGAGTTGGGAGCACGTGGCATTGTTTCCCGTACTTAACGACTCCCCATCTGCAACTAATCAGGAAGCGCTAGTGTCATCTGTTCCTGCGCGTGACTTGGACTCCGTATAGTTAGTCATATGTCCTTGCTAAATTTGCTGTTTGATAGCCATTCGACTGGTCGAATCAAAACAACTCGGAAACAGTTGGCCCATTAACACCATAATAAGTAAATTTAAAAATCGACGATGCAATCGAATCTCAAACGAGGAATAAAGATTCAAGTTGACTTCAAAGGTCAAAGACCAAGAGCCCGTATTACAAATAATTCTAATTTTCAAAGCAGTTTCTTGGCCATCATTCCGACCACAGAGATAATTATCTATG